ACAGTTTTTTCATTACTGATAATGAAAACGCTGAAGAATTGATGACTATCCATGAGAGAATACGAAAAAAAAGTTTCCGCAGTACGCGCACAACTGCGGTCGTTAACGGGTTAATATACGGATGACGGAGAGAATGTGACCGTGGGTCTATTGCAAGAGCGTAAACAGCTGTGAGCCCGCTTCATCCGCGCAGCTGCTACCCATATCCAGGAGCACAAAACTGGGGCTTTGTTGCACGTGGGAGGAGTGAAGCTGGGTAGTCGTTACAAAAGGCATGCTCTAGTGAACGCCTGTGTTGGCTGCATCGAGGTGGGTGGGGAGTGTTGCAACAGTAAGGATTAGCGCCCTAACCGCGCAATTTTTGCGGCGAAGCTGGAGTGATCTAGGTAGGATGGGACCTTACAACTTCCCTTGCGGTGTCCTTCCCACAAGTCGGGCTAATCCCTTGGTTTGCCTGTGGATCCCACTGCATCAATTTTATTGATTCGGACTTGTTTTCACGCTATCAGGAAAAGCCGACCAGTTGATTGACAACTGACCCACGCAAGGTCATAAATGCGTCACCGATATGTGCCACTATGCCACGACTGAAGAACAGTAGTTTGAATATTTAGAAAAATCAAAATGCCGTAGTTATTGCAGTGATCGGCGTTTCATTATGTGACGTCAGTAGTAGTTAATGAATTGAGAAGCCTCAGGAAGATATGAATTGCGGTAAACCCGGGACTGCAGCGTTCACCTCGTTCCGGTAGTGAAGGAGTAACTGACTGAGTTGTCCCATATGGAAGGAACAATGGGTGCACTTAGGTCGATTTCAAAACATCAAGAACCCCAGTTGCACTTGTGAAGCAAATGCCCACAACTTTTTGTCACACCTCTCCTACAGGGGCAACACTTGTTCTTTAGGGCTTACATTTTGTTGGCTGATGATTTGCAGTTCCATAGGGCACGGACAGAACTTCGCATCAGCTCCTTTCTCTCCAGGTGGCCCTAGAAAATAAAACGTGTCAGTTATTTTGCATATAGAAAAGACTTGTGACGCCACACTTAGGTTTGTGAATAGTTTCTTTTCTTCTACCTGAAAGATTTTTGGGAGTTGGAGATTCCCACAGAGGTATCACCATATGCTAATTTAAAGGTAATTCATTTCACTATCCTAGTGAGATATAAACATAGCCGATGTGTTTTCTGATTGACTTACCCTTCGGTCCTCTATCTCCAACGTTCCCGTTTATGCCGTCCAGTCCATTTGGACCCGGGTTGTCCTGTCGGGCCAGGTGGCCCGTAGATGTAATTTCGCTGCAAAATTATCATTCTACTTGGAAGCAGCACTGTATAGTTTTTATAAAGCCTACCTTTCCTCGAGGACCTTGGGCTCCAGCCCTCCCAACAGGACCATCCGCTCCTTTTGGTCCAGGTTTGCCAATTCCTCCCTCCGCCGGTCGTCCGCTTGGAC